GGTTAAACAGATGCAAATTAGGATTATAGCCAAAAATATGATGAACCAGGCTGAATTTTGTGAGAATGTCTCCTTTAATACCTTGGGAAATAAATCAAACATGCTATTTTCATTTTCAGGAATAAGTTGCAAAGTGTTGTATACCAACCAGAATTTTGGTGTTGAGGCCTTTATATTTTTCTGAGAAAACTCATAATTTGCTGTTCAGAAATCCAGTTGCTTCTTCCAAAATCTCCGTCCAGGCTTTTTTGGTTGGAAGGGTATTTCAGCAGTAGCTCTTGGAATTACCAAGAAAGAAATATTATGCAGATTTTCCATACATGTCCATAACTCATTATAAGAATCACAGAATACCAGGTTGGAATGTATATCAAGGATCATATGGTCCAACCTTTCCTGAAAGAACTGCAGCGTAGACAGGATGGTCTATCATCTTGCCCAGGCAAATTTTAAAACTGTCCAGTGCCAGGGAGTCCATCACTTCCCTGAGGAGATTATTCTAATGACTGAATTTTCTCATAGTGAAAAATTTTGCATGTGTCAAATGGAAATCTTCCTAAGAGTAACTTGCCTTGACTTTTCCATATGACTCCTTGTAAAAAAAAAAGGAGTCTCTTCAGCCACCTCTTAAATACTGAAACATGGTGATAAATTCTTCCCTGTGCCTCTTCTCAAGGCTAAACAACCTCACTTCTTTCAGCCTTTTCCTCATGTGACTGGCTCCCCATCTTTGTGGTCCTTCAGCCAGTCAGTCCACACCTTTTTTGTATAGCAGAGACCAAAACTAAACACAGTATTCCAAATGTGGCCTGAAAATCACTGAGCAGAGTGGGATAATTACTTCTTTATCTCTGAGGGTGGTGTCTTTTTTGATTCAACCCAGCATCCTGTTGCCTTCCTTTTACAGAGCAGCTTACTGTTCACTCACATTGAATTTGTTGTCCACCAGAACACTGAACATTTTTCACTGAGCTGCTTCCCAGACCAGTATATCCCAGCCTGTGCTGCACTTCTGGATTATGTTTCCCCAGGCTTAAGAACTTACATCTGTCCTTGTTGAACTTCATAAGATTCTTAGTTTTCTCAAAGTCTGTTCATTCTTATCAGTCTCTTATGCAGTGAAATAAGGCTGAATCATAAAAGCTCATTTTGAATTTACTGACTTGATGAATGTGAGGCATGTTTTACTTACAACTGCAGTTTGCTAAATATTTTTCAGCATCGCTGCACCTTTTTATTGTCTGCTCCGATTTCTACTGCATTGGTATTTATTCTTGGTAGGCAGGTATTTCTCAAGAGCAGAAAACTGCACTCTGTTTTTATAATCTTTGTACCTGACAAAATACTTCATTTCTTTAAGGATCAGGGCCTTAGGTTTGACAGAAAATGCCTGTATTTACTTATTACAAACTGTCATAATATAAGAGAAAATTAAGCAGAAGGACAAATATTAATTTAAGCATCTTGTATTTTAGCTGAAAGTGAAATTTTCTTTGCTTTTTTGAAATATTCTTATAATTTTTCAATGTTATCTTATGTTCAGGCATAGTTATGAGAAACCCTTCTATACAATTAAATACTTCCATTAAAACACAGTTAAGTAGTTCATGTGCTGTAAAATACTATGATTATGCAAATAAACAACATGGATGAAATAGAAGTCTGGCAAATATTAGTGCATACAAGATCTGCAAGTTTTAGATGTAAATAAAACATGACAGCAGTGGTAATAAGTGCAATTCCATAAACAGAAATTATAGAGATGGAATGGAAATGGAATAGAATGAAAATTCTATTTTTCCCAGTAGTGTGTTTCTTATAGTTTTCTATACCATAACTGTAGAAGAAAACCAGAAGCACCACTTTACTTCTGCACAGAACACAAGCAGAAAGGGGGCTGACATTCAGCCACTAGAGTGGAGAGTACAGACAAGTGAGTGACGGCAGAAAGACTGCTCAGAATAACAGCTCAAATCAAAGTTAGATTTGTGAAAATTTCAGATTCAGAGTTTCAGCACAGCTGATCTCTATCCTTGCAGTAGCTCTGAAACACAGGATCACATATTTGGAACTCAGATAAATTTCAATTATGTATGGATATGAATCATCCACATATTTTTACCAAGGGTAATCAGTTACATAATACTGAGTTTTCAGAAAAGCCTGGGATATTCGCTTTGGGGGTGATCTCAGAACCTCACAATGGAGCAATAGCTGAGATACAGTCTTTCTTCTCATTCTGTGATAATTCATAAATGCCGGATGAGGAGAGGGTTAACTTGTCCTCCATGAGTTGAACAGATAATAGCAGCTGCCTGCCCTCAATGTAAGGACTGCCAGGGAGGCCAGCAGTGCAAGAAAGGAATACAGCTTGGCTCAGATGGCAAGTTATTTGCTCTGAAAGGGATTTTAACAGGAGTGATCTCTAAGAAGCCTTTCATACTGGCACACAATTGGACTTGGTTCTAAGAGAAAGACTGACTAAGAGAAATCTTAACCACTACTTCCCATCCTTAAGAGCTACTTCTGCTGTTTTCCACTCGTATCTTGATACATATGTTTCTTGATAGGTGGAATTCCTTTTCACCTGAAACCCCTAAAAATAATCTGTTGGAGAGAGCATGTCTACAGACATGTCTATAGACAAGTTCTTGTGTTCATGTTATGCCTCAGTGTCAACTAAGGACATGAAAAGAAACAGATCAATTGGAAAATATAAAAAATTGAAGTTCCTTAATAATAGCACTGTGTTAAATCACTGAGTGATGAAACAGTTTTGAAGAAGTATTTGTACCCACTTTTTAGAGTATGAAGCCATATTAATACTTGCAATGATAATTATGTTCTCTGCTTCATGTACATGGAGTAAACAGTCTTTTTTGTCTTAAAAGTATGAACTGAACCCTGGCTGTTATGCTCAGGAGAATATATATATTTTTTTTCCTTTTCAGGATGACAAGTAACCAGTCTTGCACATCCAAAATAAAATAATATAATGTATACTTTTTCAACCTGATAACTTTGATAACACACACCTTTCCTGTTGAAACTTTCTGCATACTTTATCAGTGACAAAAGCAAATGCCTTTCATTATACTAAAAAATTTTTAGTATTAGCCTTGACTATTGTTAAGAATTCCTCTTTTGAAAAAGTTTTTTTAATGCTCCGTATTTATACATCAGGAAAACTTAAAATGTAAATTTCTTTTTTCTGTGTTTTCAGTCAAAATTCAACATGTAAGATTCATAGACTAATGTGTAAGACTGTAGGCATTATATAGAGGTGAGTACAGTTCCTTCTGCATATAAGCTGTTTTTAAGGATATACAAGGTTCACAGACTTTAAGCTGCAGGATGAATTCTGCCCTTGGAGGAGTGCGTTGAATTCTCCTTGAATTCAATGTGAGTCCTATGTGAATGACTCAGGGCAGGAAATGGCCTTTAAAAGGGACTGATTTGCCTTTTAACAATTCATTCACAACAAACAGAGGCTTTAATCAGTCTCCTGACTAATTTGCTGCTCAAGCAAAATAGCCAACCTCTGACATTAAGTTTGGAGAGATGATTAATCTTCAATATAAACTGGAAGGGGAAACAAGCTCTTCTGTGTATCATGTCCTCTGCTAGAGACATTCCTCTCACAGGGATTCAGGTGGTGAGGTTCTGCCCCATATTCATCAGCATGATGGAAGCAGTCCGGGCTGGCAAGGACATAAATACACACTGACTACTGCATGAATGCCTTGTGATTCTTTTCACCATCTTGTCTTTTGCATGGAGCTTGGAAAGGGGGTCAAATAGACAATGGCTTCCCTACCCCAAACTTCCAATATATAAATATAATTATAAATATAAATATACATCATATTCCATTTATGGTAACTTCTTTTGGAGTAGGATGAGTATACTGAATGGGTTAACTAGGAAAAAAAGAACTGCCTTATAATACCTGCCATCTATGATTATTATAATCTTGCAGACAAATATAATTACAGTGTGTGATGTCTGTTTATGTCTGTGAAAGCTTTGATTGTGTTCTCTTGTCTGCATTACACTGCAAAACAGCATAAACATTTATATTGTATAGTAACTCTAATCTAGTGCTAATGCCCTGAGCTATGGGTGTCACTTCAAATTGCCAAGATTTATGTGATACTTATATCTGCCTTTTTCAGGTGAATTTGACCCTAGTACACTTGTGTTTTACTGATTTGTAAAATCTAGAGACTATTAATGGGCTGCAGAGGAGTGAAATTACTTATATAGGAACTCTTATAATAAAATCATAATTACCCCAGAGTTTCAGTATCTCATACAGAAATTAAGAGACTGTAGTAACTTTGTCATGATTCAAATATTAATATAGGGATTCTCGAATTTTAGAGACAGTGTAGATTTTAAAGAACAGCCTAAATACAAATTCATCATAACATTTTACCAATGTGCACACCACATTTAAAATAAGAGATCTTAGGATGTACAGAATACACATCTCTTCTTAAAAATTCTGAACACTAAAGAAAAAGGTAGGTATTACACATATTTACCTTTTTTTTAACTTATGTACACTTTAGGAGGGAAATAAGACTGACAAAAGTGAGCACAGGATTTGTATGCAGCTAATGCCATCTCTCAGCTTGAAATGAAGTTGAACCTTTGGTCTAGAGATAGCCAGTTCAATAGTGTTGTGGTTTAACCCTGCCAGGAACCAAGCCTCGAGCAGCTGTTCACTCACTCTCCCACCAGTGGTATTGGGAAGTAAATCTGAAGGGTAAAACCTAGAAAACTCATAGGTTGAGTTAAAGACTGATTAAGAGGGGAAGCAAAAGCTGCACACACAAAAAACAAAAGCAGAACAAGGAATTAATTCCCCAGTTCCCATGGACAGGCAGGTGGTCAGCCATCTTTGGGAGAACAGGGCCCCATCACATGTAATGGTGACTTGGGAAAACAAACACTGTCACTCCAAATGTTCCCCCTTTCCAGCTTCTTCCCCTCACCTTATAATCTGAGCGTGATGCCACATGGTCTGGAATATCCATTCGATCGCTTGAGATTACCTGTCTCTGCTGTGTCTCCTCCTAACCTTCCAGGCACCCCTAGCTTCCTCTCCAGCCTGGCAGTACAAAAAGCAGAAAAGTGGTTCTGTGTAAGCTCTGCACAGCAATAACAAATACATCTCTATATTATCTTCACAGTGTTCAGCACAAATCCAAAACATTGCCGTCATGAGGAAAATTAACTCTATGTCAGCCAAAACCAGCACAACCGCTAGACATTCATAGAGAGATAATAAAGAGACTTTAAATTATATTCTCATGCTATGTGATGCACATGCACAGACCCCATCAAGTGTTGCATCCTATTTGATAGGTATGTGAGGTCACTAAGGGAAAAAACAACAGTGTGAATGCTCGCTTCAACGGGGCAAAAAGTCACTCTCTGAACAGTGCCCAAATCTGCAAGGTCTGTGGTTTCCCACTTCCTGGCTGCAATCGGGGAATGAGAAAAGATGAACTGGAGGAAGCTGGTGCCAGAGCCCCTTCGTGGGGTTTTGGCTGCTTGGACTCAGGGCCAGCACTGACAGCAGCGCAGCTGTGCAGCCTGGATTCAGAGAGCTGTTTGAGGAGGAGCTGTGGGAAGCCTTAGCAGAGGCCATTCCCTTGTACTCAGGAGCTGCATTTAATCTGAGCAATTGCCCTTGTCCCCTTTCTGGGGCACGCTTCTTCCATAGCTCACTGATCTGAACCTGACCCGCTGGCCAGCGCTGCCCGGCTTGACCTTACACCAGCCTCAGTGTTTCTGTGCTTGCCTGCTGTCCTGCTCGGCTGGCAGTCCCCAGGCTGCTCTGCCCTCCTGGTTCAGGTAGTGCAGGATGTGTCAGTCAGGCCCTTGCCCTGCTGCCCTTGGCCTGGCTCACCACACCTGGGAACAGCATCCTGCTGCTGCTCCTTCTCTCTCAGAGCCCAATATGAATTTGACGGCTGCTGGAATAAGGAAACGATCTGAAGACGATAACCTTAGTGTTCAACTTCTGTGGAACACAGGATTTCCTTTGTGATATGCATTTCTTCTGTGCCATTAGTGCCATTAAAATTTTGCAGGCCCATGAATGGAGATGTTGGTAAATAGTGCTTTTAACAAGACTCATGTGAATTTCTAACTACTTTGACATCCTAGTCTTTTCATACGCTTTTACTCTCATTTAAATAGATTTATTTGAAATTAAATATATAAGATCAAACCTCTGAGTGTGAATAATGCAATATTTCTAGACAGGGTAGTAGCAGTGAAGGTGCATTTTCTATATCTCATCATACATGTAAATCAGAGCAAGTAACATTGACATAGCATGGACAGTGTCTTGATTCTTGCTTAGAGTCACAGAACTGCAGTAAAGCAAAATGGACATCCTCATTCATACTGTTTGTGTCCTAACTTGCTCCATGTACATAGAAATAAGCTGAGACTTCTAAATTAAAGCAAGCTTTGGCACAAACCTCAAGCACATTCTATTAAGTGTATGAGAGGCTCTGTTTCTCATCATTCCGAATCCCGTATCTAAGAATGTTTTAATACAGGGGAAATTACCTATGTGAAAGTAAGATTACCATTTTGCCCAAAATTGTGTTTAATTTGTCTCTGCAGCCCTTGTTTTTTTGCAGTTTGTGAATTTCCTCTTTACCTAAAGTTAAACTGCATTATCATGAAAGGCCTTTCCATTTTTTGTATGCCTATCACAATAAAAAGCCAAAACCAAAACTCAGATACAGATACTTCGGCTAGTGACGTGAAATGCAATTTTAAAAGTTGCAATCTAGTTTTCAGATCCTGCAAATTTCTAAGAAATACAGTGAGTAGTTTTTATGCTCATACTGCTCTGTGTCATTTGTGGACTTTGTAAATCAGTTGTATTCATCAGTTAGATGAATACAAACATTCTAAATGTGTATTGGAACATGAAAGACACATTGAGATTTGTGTCATACTGAAGCAGCCCAGTTTGCATTTTCCATTCAGCTTAGTCAGTCAGTAAAAAAAATTTAAATTGGAAAAATTGTTTTGAAAGTAAGGAGTACCAAATCCAAGCATATAGATTTTTCTGATGCAGTTTTTCAAAATATTGTTTCTAACTGAAACCAGGAATAACAGATATATGCAGTATAAATAAAATAAGTATATATGCATCTATTATTGAATCAAATACTTTGAAAAAAATTCATTTAACACTTGAAGACTGCAAAAAGTAAGATGGGTCTTATCTAAGGACAGGACAGTTCTTTTCTTGATTTCTAAAGCCCCAAAATATGTTCAAGAACACAGTAAGAGAATAGAATGCTGGTGTGCTGTTTCAAAATAGTGCAAGTTCTGCACTTTCTAGGTGGCAGCAGCAGATTGTTTACACATGCTTGTTATGCATGCACCTGAATTCCTTTGTGGTTAGCAGGCTGGTGTTGCAGAATAGCATAAATAATTATAACAAAAGCTACCCAAATGATCAAGATGCCTTTCAACCAAGAGATCAAGACTCTTCTCTCTGGCTCTGTGCATGCACATAGGTGCCTGTATGGTGAATAATTTTTTCATTAAAACAAAAGCAGGGTGATTTTCCTTTGTTACTATGTAAAAGTCACTAGCATAAAAAAGAACAAATGAGGATAGATCAATAAGCAGTATCAAAAATTAAAACTTCTTCCATAATAAAGAAAAAACCCCACATTTAAAGTAAATTTCTGGCTTGTTAACATGAAGCTGACCTAGCATTTTTTATTCCTGAGTCATACACAAAAATGCTGCTGTGCAGTGGACTGTTAAGAGCATGAAAATCTAACCATTTTGCAGATTTATGGAATCCCTGTAGGATTTTCTTTCTAAATATAAACTATATGCTATACTCACAGGCAGAGTCTTAAAGCAACATTAATGCTCTGATATCAGCATAGCCAAGAAAGCACTGGTACTTTGTTGTTGCTAGGCAAGTCTCTAATTTCAAAACCTGAATGAAATATCAGTGTCCGTATCAAACACTTTGAAAATGACCCACAAAAGTATTGGAAATTAATAAATCATTTTTAAAGTTATTTTTAATCACTTTGATTACCCTCACTCTAACTGACTGAATGTAGAGAGTGCATAAAGGAAAAGCCATTTGTTTGCAGACAGCCTTGAATGTAAAGGTGATCCTGTAATTGGCTACGGGTTTAGCTTTTCCATCGTCACCCTCACACGAGAAGGTCTTCAGTGTCTGTCAAAGCAAGAGCCATTCTACTGACAGTTCCCTCTATCTTCAGCCTGCTGTAACTCTGCAGAAACTATTGTGAAGAAAAAAATCATTCTCTGAATTGTGAGCCAACTGTAGATTATATATAGGATATAATTGATAAGGTATGTCTGTTATTTATTTTATGTTTATTTTCAGCAGTATTGCATCTGGTTTCCATTTGCAAGAGAGAGGCATGTTTGTGCTTATATCTGGTAATATTTTTTCCTTCATTAGCCTGGGACTTGAAATTATACTGATGCAGAATACTTTATTTCATCAGCTTATGTACTGGAAAGACATAAATTGACCTTTTAAGTGAAATGTTCACTGTCTGTGATTAGGGGGGAAGTCAGAAGAGGGGCAGTGGAATACTTTAGCAGAGTGTCCATGAGTAATGTCACTGTTCACAGCCCCCCATGCATTACACAAGCATCAGCTCTCGCTTCTGGAGACCAGCAGACCCCTCAGTCTTTCTGGTTATCCTCTGGATCAGGATAAGTCCCCTGCTGTGATCTCGCCCTAGACAGACAAACAGGCAGACATGCACACACATGGCTCTCGGGCAGGTCAGTCTGGGGTGGCCTTTGCTACCGCTCGCACTCTCACCCGGTGGCTGCATGTCCTCCAGTCACCACAGGCCCACAGAACTCCAGCCCACAGCCTGCCTCCCGCTGGTGCACCCAGACCCCATACACACACACATGCACACAGAATAGAGTCCCTCATCCAAGAGAGAGGAGGGAAGGAATTTAATACAAAACTGCATTTTTCAGGTGCAAGGCATACCCACAAGCAACTGTTTATGTCACAGGCCCTTTTTATCCCCTTATTCATCCTTTTTTCCCACAGTTCCTCAAATAACCCAAATTCTTCCCCTTTTCTGCTGTTAGTTCCTCCCCTAAACATCCCATAGTAAATCCTGTGCAATCCTGAAATGTGCTTCTTCCTCATCTCATAATATGTTCCCTACCTTTAGGCAGTAAATATGAGGTGCTCCAGCACTGACCCTTCTTGATGGGTTTCACACTTGTAAAATGAGGCTCGGTCTGTCCCAGAACAGGTTTGATAGAATGCTTTTCCTTCCCATCTTTGATTTGCATTTTTCATCTGGTTTTGAGCAACTCTGCTCCTCTGGTCAAAGGAAAGGGACCTTTAAGTGGGGGATGGCTTTTGTGATGGGCATAGAACCAACATCCCCCAACAGCCATCCTTTCTCTGTGCTCATTTGAGTATGCAGAGGAGCATAACATAATAGATTCTACAAGTAGGCTATATTAGAAAGGATTCTACAAGTATCCTCAGAACATCTGGGGAACATCTGTCATTCTCAGAGCAGTGCAGACAAGAAGTTGCTGGACCTTCAGTATGGGTTTGAGTAGTAACAGTAACTAACCCTGTGGCAGATATAAGGACAATTCCCCTTTGTATCTTGTGATAATTGGGATTAGAACATCATCAACTGCAAAAAGTGGTTCCTAAACCATTACCTATTATCACAAATAGAAGCAGAAGTTTCTTATAATCACCTGAGGATTTATAGGTAACCTATAGTGTATATTTAGACTAAGGAAGAAGGAGAGAACAGTCACAGGGAATTTGCTTGCAAAGTGGAAGTCTAGTTGCATCCTGTCTGTTTCTGATCTCTCTGCCTTTGGAAACATGAAATCAAGAAATTTGCTGAATTTTCCTGCTTGGCAATTTTATTGCTCTTTAGATACTCCTTTTTCTGTGTTCACTGTAACACAGAGATAAATACTAATATTGTGTTATTGAAAGAGGAAATGTGCTGCAAAACACTTCAGTGTTTCTCTTTGGGTGTTTCACGTTGAGCGTCCCCCACTCTCA